TTGCTATTGCTATTGCTATTGCTAATCAGTGGAACAGCTTGCCTCCAGAAGTTGTTAATGCCCCAACACTGGAGGTCTTTAAGAAGATGTTGGATAGCCATTTGTCTGGAACAGTATAGGGTTTCCTGCCTAGGCAGGGGTTGGACTAGAAGACCTCCAAGGTCCCTTCCAACTCTGCTATTGTATTGTATTGTATTATATTGTACTTCCTTAATTCTACCATCTCTTTAGGAGTCATGGAGTACATTTTCGGCCTCGGTAGGGTGGCCCCAGGCACAAATTCTATTGCACAATCAATGGGTCGGTGAGGGGGAAGATAGTTGCAATTTTCCTCACTGAGACCCCCTGCCAGATCCCAGTATTCTTTTGGCACTTGCTGGATGCTGCGGCCCTTTGGCTGGGCCTCCACTGATCCCCGTGGAAAGGGTTTGCAGCTTGTGTAGCAAATTTCCCGGTCTCTCTTCTCCCAGGTGGCTTCATTTTCCTCACTGGTGGCTGAGGTTCCTGGAGGAGTTGTCCCTTCAGCACTTTTTCCTGTCTTGCTATTGGCAAGGAATCATCTTTGAAAGAGGGAACTCCCCTCTCTATGAGCTTTCTAAACTTCCCCCCCCTGCTGTTTTGTGAAGGGGGGAAGAGCTGCCGAGCTTGACGCTGGTTTCGAGCTGGCGTGGGTGGGGGCAAGGAAGAAGGTGGCTCAGCTGCTGCTCCTGGGTCTTCTGGTTCTCCCTGTTGGGGCATTGCGGCTGGGGCTGGAACCGATTGGGGGTTAGTCCCTGGGGTTGCCCCAGGCCAGTTATCTAAAATGGTGCCATCTGCTGAGGAGGTCCAGGCATCCATTGGTATTGCACCCATCCATGGCCCAGGAAGATAGCCCACCCCGGTGGAACTTGACTTTTAGGCTGCAGCCTGAACATCAGTGGCTGGCTAGGGGAAGAAGCCCCCCCCCCATCTGTTGCTGGCTGGATTGATTTACCCATCCCAGTTGAGGGGCCATCTGTGCCCCAGGATGGAGGGGCACTACCATTGGTCTTATTCCAGCTGCAAGGGTGTGGGCTGACCCACTTGCCACTGTATGGGAGCAGCATAAATCCCTACTCCATTGCGTTGCGGAACCTCGACCCGGGAAGGTGAATGTTGGCTGGGTTTGGAGCTAAGGCAATGTTGATTCCACTTACGTTTAGCTGTCCGAATTTGTCTGGGAGGCCGGTCAGAGACTGACTGCGTGAAGGTGGCTGGGATACCCATCCATTGGAGCGCCCAGTCTGTATCTGCTTTGGTCCCCTCCATTCGTGGGTTGAGGCTGATCTCGCACCCCCCTGTGGCTCCAACAGCAACTCCTTAAGGGCAAGGAGTCAAGGAAAAAAGATCCAACCGCAAGACCACCAGACAAACGGATAAACAAGCTACTATGCAACAACCTCAACAATCATTGGCCACTGACCAAGGAGCTACTGCAACAAGCTCAGAAGCTGTGGGAGGAGCCAAACCAAAGGTGAGACAGGCCTTGCGGGAGGCTCTAAAAAAGCTTCAGGCAACCAAAAATGACAACT